CGCAATAAAATATTTATTTATTTATTTATTTATTTATTTATTTATTTATTTATTTCGTCAAGCATTAGAAAACATTAGGACAGGGACAGTAGGCACGCTGGTGCGCTTATGCACGTCCCCTACAGACCTCTTAGGAATGGGGTGAGGTCTACAGTAGACAGTCTAAGGTTAAAGTTTTGGGGATTTGAGGAAGAAACCACAGAGTCAGGTAGTGCATTCCAGGCATTGACAACTCTGTTACTGAAGTTGTATTTTCTGCAGTCTAGTTTGGATTGGTTTACCATGAGTTTGTAACTATTGTATGCTCTTGTATTGTTTTGGTTGAAGTAGAAGTATTCATTGGCTGGTAGGACATTGTAGCAGATGATTTTATGTACTATGCTTAGATCAGACCGAAGACGGCGAAGTTCTAAATTGTCTAAGCCCCAAATTTCGAGTCTGGTGGCATAAGGTATTTTGTTGTAAGCAGGAGTGGAGGACTCTTCTTGTGAAATATCTCTGGACTCGTTCAATTATATTAATGTCCGATATGCAGTGCGGGTTCCAGACTGTATTCAAGAATTGGTCTGGCAAAAGTTTTGTATGCCCTAGTTTGCAGTTCAATATTACCAGAGAAGAAACTACGCAAGATTAGGTTAACAACTCTTAATGTTTTTTTAGCAATGCTGTTACAGTGACCTTTGGCACTTAGATCATTTTAGATGAGTACTCCAAGGTCTTTGACAGAGTGAGGGTCGTCTGTTAGGTCGTATCCATACAGCTTGTATTTTGTGTTCTGATTTTTTTTGCCAATGTGTCTTATTTATATATTAAATTCATATGTCGCCCATTTCGCAATTCAAGAGATGAATGATATCCAGATCCCTTTCATGATTACTACTGCTAAATCAGATCTCCCTTATCCTCATAATTGATTATCAATGCTGATTTAATTTTCTTAAGGGCTTAAATGACTGTCTCTCAACTTCACCTGGTTAGGAATTCTTGGAGTTGAAGTCCCCATATCTGAAAGTGGCCACAGTTACCACAACTGTAAAAATCCTGCCATTTTCATGAGTTTAAAATTCTAGTCCCATTTCCTGGCGGTATTTATTTCAAAAAAATGCAGTCATGCACGAGAGTCTTATACAGATTTCTGTACATCTCTATAAATATATATTACTGCCTGGAGGGGCAGCCTATCAAGTTGATGATTGGCCATTATGTTAAAGGTTATTTTCAGAAGAATATTCCGGTTCTATTTTTTTGTTAACTTACAATTACACTCCTTACAAGCCTGGTAGAAATTCACAGGCAGCTCATAATAGTTATCATCAACTTTCCCCTTTGATCATAATCATGACTTGGTTCAAATTATTGTTATATTCAGAATATATTTTTCTCTGATGCAGTTTGAATGCAAGCTGTACTTATTTTTTTTGCCATCCCTTATTATTTCATTGCCATCCTTTTGCTGTTTGCTAATTGGTACCTTTCAAAAGCCTGGAGGTACAAAGAAGCCTCAATCATTTGGACCTCCCACACTTGCATCTCTATGTTCTTAAAGTCCATTAGATCCACCACATCAATTTTCCTACAAGCCGGTTCTCGCAACCCGTTTCAAGCATCCACAATTGAAGTATGATCTCACAGACAACTGAGATTGCCCCACAGTTGACCCGATACTCCTTTGCTGTTTGCTAAATTAATAGCTGAGGAATTAAAGTGTGAGGTGCATGTTCATAAATTCTCAAACATAATTCATCTACTCATTACTGTAAATGAAAGAGTATCGTTGTATGGAACCAAAGGCTCCACTGCGCAGGTAGGGCTACTGGTGAGCAAATTAAAACTAGGAAATGTTCAGTTCCCAAAGCTTTCCTCATCAGTGAAGCAACTAAGTTAACCATCTGTGTGAAATAATAAGTACCTCCTCCAGCTAGGAACTTCAGGCTAAGCTTATTGAACGCTTCAGAAGCCACAAGGGTAGGAAATGGAGGGATTTAAGAACTCCAAAGGAGGTATGAAGGATTAATCATATGAACAATGTATTTGAAGGCACAACAATGTATTGCTCAGTTCATCACCACGTTGAGATGTTATTACATACATCACCAGTACTATATATTATCAGTACTATTTGTACAGTTTGGAATGCACAAGCTTATGAGTTGTGAAACAATTTTGTGGTACACGAAATCCCAATCACAGATCCCAGAAATGAAGTATGAATTGATATTCAATCCAATTCACAGTCTGGGAGTGGTAAAAACAGTTCAGGTCCTAATCAAGGACTAAGAGCTGTTAAGGTAGTTTGTCTAAGTCTATAGGCAGTAGTATGAAAATATATAGGTAATTCTGAGTAAGGTGGTGTTGTTATTTGCAAAGTCAGGATATTCAGGTCTAATAAGTTCAAAATTTCCATGTATTTAGACAGCCCTTTGGGTATTGCTCCAAGTGCTCCTATTACTATTGGTACAACCATTGATTTCTTCCTCCACAATCGCTCAACTTCAATTTGCAAATCACGACAATTTGTTATTTTTTTCTAGCTGTTTGGCCTCAATTCGTGCATCACCTAGTATTGTAATATCAATGAACCAGATTTTTTTCTTTTCCACAATAGTGATGTCAGGCGTGTTGTGGGCCAGATGTCTGTCTGTTTGGACCCAAAAGTCCCACAAGATTTTGACTTGCTCGTTTTCAAGAACTTGGTAAATTTGGTGTTCCAGTAATTTTTGCTGCATTTGAACCCAAACTTCTTGCCAAGCTTCTAATGTATGATAAATCCAGAAAAACTGTATATAATTAACTGTATATAGTTAAGACCAGCTGCCTGCAATTATTACAGGTTCGAATCTCACCAGGCTCAAGGTTGACTCAGCCTTCCATCCTTTCTAAGGTAGGTAAATTGAGGACCCAGTTTGTGGGGGCAATAAGCTGACTTTGTATAAATATACAAAAAAGGATGAAGGCTATTGCTTAGCACATTGTAAGCTGCCCTAAGTCTCCGGAGAAGGGCGGCATATAAATCAAATTTTAAAAAAATAATAATTATCCTGGTGTTATCTTTTAGCAGTTTAGGACCAGCTTTCTTTCTAACTAACTGCCTCCCTCTTTTCCTTGAGAAATTATTAAATTAGCATATCAGACATATATGTCTTGGAAATCAGATTTACAGTCCAGATGGAGGATAGCTACTAAGTTAGAAGTTTTCCAGACCAACCATACAAATACACGAAAGATGATATTGAAGTTTCCTGATGTCTGGACCGGCTATCTTTGAGACTTTTGACATATTTCAAAGATACTTTATCCATATCCAAAATTTAGTTAAATTCTCAAAATGATATTTAGAAGGCAAAAGAAACAAAGTGCTCAACAAATTTCATGGTTTTGTTTTCCCCGTTTCATGGCAGTGTGATGAAACGAATGTTTTATATAGGGGGAAAGCAAAATCAATGTAAGATGTCACAGTTCTGTTAAAACTCATGCTAAAATTCATTGTGAAATGCCCCGTGCTCATTATAATGTCACATCATCAAATAATATAAAGTGTCTGCTAATGTTTGGTATGGATTCACCTCTTTCTCAGACACAATTATAATGGAAAATAGTGAAAATCACTATTTTGCATGTGGAAATCACTCTGTTTCAAGACTTTAAATCAAGCACGTTCAAATTCTGCAATACCATAACTATCTGATACAATAAAATAAATGTACAAACTCCCTGTATGAATTAAATTAATGAACTCATTGGGATTTGGGTTTGTCAAGAAGTATACGACAAACCAAAAGATACATAACTTTGATAAATTTTCTTGATAAGTTTACTTTTACCAGCACTATTAGTAGTTTGGATATCTTACAATTTTTTTTTAATTTGATTTATATGCCGCCCTTCTCCGAAGACTCAGGGCGGCTTACAATGTGCTCAGCAATAGCCTTCATCCTTTTGTATATTTATACAAAGTCAGCTTATTGTCCCCACAAACTGGGTCCTCATTTCACCTATCTTAGAAAGGATGGAAGGCTGAGTCAACCTTGAGCCTTGGCGATATTCGAACCCTGCAGTAATTGCAGGCAGCTGGTCTTAATAAGATTAATAACAGGGTGCCTTAAACCCCTGTACTACCAAGGCTCTTTTTCTCTCACTACTCAACCTAAATTTCTATTTTGAAAGGCTAGGACAGGGGTGTCAAACTGGCGGCCCACGGGCCGGATGTGCCACGTGTAGGCCACGCCCACCCCAGCTCCGCAAAGGAGAAAAATTTGCAAAACGTCATGTGATGGCAATGTGATGCCGCGAGTCTGACATTCATGGGCTAGAAATATAAAATTAATGGATAAAAATACTGAATGTCACGAGCTGTTAAGTATAATTACTCTGAGTCAAGAGATATATTAATTCACACCATGTGGGAAATGCCCAGTTGGCTGGAAACCAGCTCTTGATCCCAATGTTGCTGCAATTATAATGGGTTACCCACAGGTTTCATAACATTTGTGCTTATCTTCCCATGGCAGGTGTACTTTGGCAAAGTGCCAGTGAGTTTTGGCAGTGGTCTCACTTTGCTGTGTTAACCTGGTTAGCTTTAAATAAATGCTGCAACCCCTTCTAAGTGGCTCCCAACAGATCACCAAAAGTGTGAAAAATCAGATTTTAAAATACAACAAAAAAATTCCCATCAGTCTTCTACCGTGTTTCTCCGAAAATAATCTTATATTTTTTTGAACCCTGAAATAAGCGCTTGACCTTGCTTTTGGGGAGGTCTTATTATTTTGGGGAACGTGGAGCAAGATGGGGCTCCCCTTGCTGTCTTACCTGATTTCCAGCTCTGTTTTTAAATATTTTCAGGGAGGGCTTATTTTCAGGGGGAGGCTTATTTTAGCGCATGCGCTCAAAAGCCCGACTGGGCTTATTATCATCGGATGTCTTATTTTCGGGGAAACAGGGTAATAACATTGACACTGTATGTCTTAAGGTTAATTCATATTCTTCAGGAACTGGAGACTTACCATTAGAACGATGGATACAGGTGTGTTGGTTATCGCTTAGGAAAAATCCTTCTTTACATTGGCATTCATAGCTTCCCATAGTATTGACACAAATCTGTTGGCAGCCACCGTTGTTATCCAAACATTCATCAACATCTAGAGACATAAATTTGAATATAAGCCGTTAGTACTCAGAATACAATAAGAAGCCACAAATTCTTCATTCCAATTTAGACAGAACAGAACAAAATAGAATTCTTTATTGGCCAAGTGTGATTGGACATACAAGGAATTTGCCTTTGGTGCATATGTTGTGACTCCGGCTCCCAAGCCTGTCCTCACGGAGGAAGATGACTCTGAAAGTGATGGGGAGGAACTGACAAGGCCTCCCTCTCCAGGACCCTCCTTTCTGGCAACGCCTCAGGTTCCAGCTGAAGGCCAGGAGGAAGGCATGTCGGAGCACCCACTAATAGGGAGTGATGAAGATCAATCTTGGATTGATCCCAGGCAGCATCGGAGGGAGAGGCGTGTGCAGCAAAGGAAGAGGTGTGGAAGGGCCAGAGATTGCTGAGTCACTGAGCCATGCCCCACAGGGGATAAAAGTGGGTGGGGTTGCTCTGCAGGCTCTGTGACGGACAAAAACTGCATATCGTGAGCTTCGGATGGGATATCTTTCGGAATTAAGGCTTGGACTTTGTGAATGACTTCTGACTACTCTTTTGTGCCTTGTGAACTCTTGGTTGCCCCAGCAATGGACTACAGATACGGTGACTCCTGTTTTTAGAGGTGATAAGAAACTTTGCAGGCATTCGGAAAGTAGTTGCCAGAACTTTTATCTGCCAAAGGATTCAGGTCGGCTTGTAAAAATAAATTACTGGTAGACGTCTTTTGCTCGTGTGTCTGCCTATGTGAGGTGGGGGGACAGAACATCATACGCTCTCAGTGTACATAAAAGAAAAGATACATTCGTCAAGAATCATAAGGCACAGCACTTAATGATAGTCATAGGGTACATATAAGCAATCAAATCATATTAGGAAACAGTCAAACATATGGTCTCATCAACCATCATTTAAGAAATTATAATTCATTGGGTCGAGCATCAATTTTGCGCCCATGTGCTCCTTTCCTTTCCTTCACATTTCACAGTGCAAAACTCACAGCCACGAATCATAGATCAGCTGATCTAAAAAAGTTAAGCGAAGTTGGATGGGACACCTCCTGACAATCCTAGGACACTACACTAGATTGGAAAATAAAAGCAACACAAACAAAGAAGGTGATACAAATTTCTTGTATGTGTTGCCAAGAAAACCAGCGTCATGTTTTAGGACAATGTTTCTTAGCCTTGGCAACCTGAAGACGTGTGTACTTCAATTCCCAGAATGGCTGGCTGGGGATTTTAAGAGATGAAGTCTACCCATCTTCAAATTGCTAAGGTTAAGAGGCACTGCTCTAGATACTTGTTTCCCAGTATAAGTACAGTGAAAGCATTTCCGAAGCCAATCTTCTAACTGAATGTATTGTGTTTTCTATACGTTGTTGTCAATGATTGTATTTTTTAAAAAAACTATCCTAAATACATTTTTTCATATCAAAACACAGGTAGACTTCGACTTACGACCCCCATGAATCCCAAAATTTCTATTGTTAAGAGAGACATTTGTTCAATGAGTTTTGGCCCATTTTGCAACCTTCCTTGCCACACTTGTTAAGGGAATCATTGCAGTGGATAAGTGAGTCACACGACGGTTAAGTGAATCTGGCTTCCCCATTGATTTTGCTTGTCAGAAGGTCGCAAAAGAAAATCATGTGACCTTGGGACAGAGCAATGGTCGTAAGTGTGAACCAGTTGCCAAGCATCTGAATTTTGATCGCATGGTCATGGGGATGTTACAAAGGTCGTAAGTGTGAAAAACGGTCATAAGTCACTTTTTTTCAGTGGCATTGTAACTTTGAATGGTCACTAAATGAACTGTTATAAGTCAAGGGCTACCTGCAGAAACCTAGAACTAAGAAAAAAAGATCCTTTGACTGAAATTAATTGTGTTAAATAACAATCTCTTCTCAAGTAATGCTTAATCCCAACCTGGATTTCGTTATGGATAACATTATGAATCCAGTTTTCAGTGAGGTATTTTTCATTTATATAGAATAGAATAGAATAGAATAGAATAGAATAGAATAGAATAGAATAGAATAGAATAGAATAACAGAGTTGGAAGGGACCTTAGAGGTCTTCTAGTCCAACCCTCTCCTTAGGCAAGAAACCCTACACCACTTCAGACAAATAGTTATCCAACATCTTAAAAACTTCCAGTGCTGGAGCATTCACAACTTCTGAAGCTGCCTTGAGTCTTCGGAGAAAGGCGGCATACAAGTTGAACAAAGAAAGAAAGAAAGAAAGAAAGAAAGAAAGAAAGAAAGAAAGAAAGAAAGAAAGAAAGAAAGAAAGAAAGTTGTTCCACTGATTAATTGTTCCAATTGTCAGGAAATTTCTCCTTAGTTCTAAGTTGCTTCTCTCCTTGATTAGTTTCCACCCGTTGCTTCTTGTCCTGCCCTCAGGTGCTATGGAGAATAGCATGACTCCCTCTTCTTTGTGGTAGCCCCTGAGATATTGGAACACTCTTATCATGTCTCCCCTAGTCCGTCTTTTCATTAAACTAGACATACCCAGTTCCTGCAACCGTTCTTCATATGTTTTAGCCTCCAGTCCCCTAATCCTCTTTGTTGCTCTTCTCTGCACTGTTTCTAGAGTCTCAACATCTTTTTTACATCGTGGTGACCAAAACTGGATGCAGGATTCCAAGTGTGGCCTTACCAAGGCATTATAAAGCGGTATTAACACTTCACATGATCTTGATTCTATCCCTCTGTTTATGCAGTCTAGAACTGTGTTGGCTTTTTTGGCAGCTGTAGCACACTGCTGGCTCCTATTTAAATGGTTGTCCACTAGGACTTCAAGATCCCAGTTCCCAGTTCCAAGATCCCAGAGTCCACTAGGACTCCAGTTACTACTATTGAGTATACTATGTCTTGGAATATCTTTCTGAAAGGAAGTTTCCTTTGTGCCTTAAAAACAATACCTAACTCTTATCAAATGTCAAGAGCATTGCATTTACTCAGATGCAATTATCTGCCATCAGTATCATGATGTCATTGGGTGCTCATTTTTTCCCAACGCTAGCATCCAGGATTTCAAATTTGAGTGATTTAAAGCTCAGTTAATGGGGCTATTTGTTGAAGCAAATTGTTTTCAGAATCATTCAAAGCCTGGCTAAAAAGTAGAAGCATGGCTGCAGCACTTTAGTAATCAATACGTATATGGAAGTATACTTTTAAAGGTATTGAAACAGTCCTGTGCAATAAAAAAATATATTTAATCCTTCTGCAGAATAAAGGGGCAGCCTGGGCTACTTGATTTACCTTATTCCTAGGGTTTTGTTTTTTTTAAGAACAATATCTCTTCTTCTACATACTTAAAAAGAAAATTAATACAAAATGGCTCATGGAGAGTCATGTGATAGAATTAAACACCTTTCCTATCTACTTTGCCAAGGCATAAGGAATCCAAAGCTGGACAAGTAACTTGAATCAGAAACATCAATATCACAGAGGAAAATGAGGTTAAAAAACTGAGATTGCAATGATATATTTAAAATCACCCCACAGTTGGAAAGAAATAATAGCCTGCCTAACAAAAAGATATACATGAGAAACAGTTCTCATGAGAAACTAGGAAGTCATTTTCTTTCTTCCATATTTCCAGAAATTTGCTCTCACTTGGAAGTGGAATGTAAAGAAAGGACTTCCAAACTGATCATAAACTTTGAACAAATTTCAGTGGTGGGTTTCAAATTTTTTTACTACCGGTTCTGTGTATGTGGCTTGGTGGGCGTGGCGTGGCTTGGTGGGCGTGGCAGAGGAAGGGTACTGTAAAATCTCCATTCCCACCCCACTCCAGGGGAAGGATACTGAAAAATCCCCATTTCCTCCTGATCAGCTGGAACTTGGGAGGCAGAGAATAGATGGGAGCGGGGCCAGTCAGAATTTTTACTACTGGTTCTCCGAACTACTGGTCAGAACCTGCTGAAACCCACCTCTGACAAATTTATACTGTATATTGAGGGTTGTATTTTAGACATTGATTTATTATGTGCCATCTAGTTGGAGGTGATTCATAGTACTATGTAGTTAGAGCCTTTCTGAAATGAGCAATCCCCCAAGTGGTCCTTCAGGTCTTCCAATGGACTCATCACCATTGTGAATCCATCCACCTTGCAGCTGGTTATCCTCATATAGTATATTTCCTATTTATGCAAGATGTACACATTCTACAAAAACACTGTGTTTTCATATAATGTGTACGATTTGCATAAATATAAACATTTGAACCTGGTCATTTGAGCTTTGAGTAAGAATTTAGGATTGATTTCTACTAAAATCCATTTGTTTGTTTTCATCTTCATGATAATCTCAAGATCTTCTCTACCACCACCATGTCGTATTCTTTCTATCTTTCACCTTTTTAAAAAACAAACTTGAATATCTGGCATTTCCCTTTCCTTGTTAACGTTCTAATCTTTGTTGAAAGATCTTAAGCATTCATGCTAACATGTAAACTTAAGGATATTGTGCAATAGATTTCACCTACTCCTTGGTATGTAGACTCTTCCACACTATTGGCCACTGTGCTGTTCTCCAGATTTGTTGGCACAGTTTTACAAAGCTATGCTTTACTATGCTTGCTTTAAAAATTAGAACCTTTCTTCTGTTGCTTGCCATATTACAGAAGAAAGTCTAGTCAATTTCAGTGGCCATGGCCACGACATTATATTATAACTGAACTCTTCCAGCTTCTTATATCTATAATATAATCAGTTTGAGTTCTGTTTACTCTGTCTGAGGAGGTGTTGTTTTTTGATTGTCTGAAAAATGTATTAGCAATGAAGAAATCATTCCATCGGCAGGAATGGCTATGCCATTTTTGTGCTTCATTTCTATTTCCTAGGCCATACAATGCAATTATATTTTGCATATACTTCGTTAACTGATATTATAAATGTTGGTCTTAAGGTCTATTTAATATTATTTGGTCATTGACAGGAATTTGAAATCCTCCAGTGTTGAAGCACCTGCAACTCTGAGAGGCAAGT